GTTGTTTTTGTGAGCAGTCATAACAGTAAAGACTCATGAGTAGACTATGTGTCTGGACTAGTAGTATTTATGACAGCTTTGTAAGGCTGGTTTTTATATGTACATCTATTGTATAAAACAAGGCTTAAATTAAAAGCTTTGTCGGCTAATTGTGAGTCCCCATTTACTCGTTAAAGACATACCTCAAAGACAGAAAGGTACAGTGACAAAGACGGTTTTATTGATCAGTTTTAAAAGAATAAAAGTCAACAGCAGTATCCTTCTAGCCTTAGTAGTCATGTTCTGTTGCTGATGAAACAAAGGATGAAGATCTTCAGGAATGTTAGAATGGAATGGCACCATTCTAAAAGCTGAATTTCAATATTCTTTCAGTCTCGTATATTGTTTCAAGTTTTCTCACATGCATTATTATTTACTTCCTTTTGCAGGGTCATATCTGTGGCCTCTGTGGAAATTATGATGGCAACGGCATCAATGACTTTACTACAAGGAGCCAGTCTGTGGTAGAGAATGTCCTAGAGTTTGGAAACAGCTGGAAAGTATCCTCTACATGTCCTGATGCTTACAGCATAAAGGACCCATGTTCTACCAACCCTTATAGAAAGTCCTGGTCAGAGAAGCAGTGTAGCATCATCAACAGCAACGTCTTTGCTGACTGTCACTCTCAGGTATTACCAGGGCAGAAGTTTACTATGTGAAGACTAGGTCTGTGTATGATTGAAGCTGCTATCCTCATACATTTTAACATACATGCTTAATTCATTAGCATGTTTCACTTTGTGTCAGGAAAACTTTAATCTGAATCCCACTCACTGGGATAGATTTATAGTCCCTACCTGTAAAAAATAAAAGGACATTTAGTTCATAGGAAATATTGACCTATTATGAAAGAATAGCAATTTCATAATTACTATGTATTTTCTTGTAGTATGACTTGAATAAAAATTCTCATACACCATGTACAGAACACAAGCTCAATGAAATAATAACATAATAATGAAGTAGCAGCATAGCCTTTGTCTGACACTAAGTACATAGCAAACAATGCAGGGTAACTTTGCTCTTCCTATTACCTTAGTTCTTTCCACTAGCAGTGACCTAAATTTTCAAGTGGAGTTGCCTAATATTGCTTGGGAACATAAATCTGATCTTCCACCAGGACACAAGTCTGGATGTCTAAAAATCTGTCAATATGTGATTTGGATGTATCATCTAGCATCACCTCCGGTGTTTAACAGTGTATATATAGAAAAGAAAAAGAAATTACTGATGTAGGCCTTTCTTCTGAAATATTACAATTTTAAGAAAATTACCCTACCAAAGCCAAGAAAGAATTTAAAAGGCAGGATGTATAGTATTACATTTCTTTTTAATAACAGGTTGAACCAGCAAGATATTACCAAGCATGTGTGACAGATGCTTGTGCATGTGACACTGGAGGAGACTGCGATTGCTTTTGTACAGCAGTAGCTGCCTATGCTCAAGCATGTAGTGAAGTTGGTGTCTGCATATCCTGGAGAACCCCATCAATCTGTCGTGAGTTTTATGTCATAAACACTTCTACTGAGAATGTAGTTAAATGTACGATGCCTTGCTGATGTCCTTGAACACACACTCTGGGTATCTCATATATGGGCATTATAATCTCACTGTGTAGACTTTTCACACTAAGCTGTTTTGATGGTCACACAATTTCACCTATTCATTCATGGTTTTCCAGACTGTCCAAACAACGTTGCAGGAATATGATGAACAGGTATGAGTCAAAAAAAGCTCTTGTTTTTTTTCCTGAACATGTCCAAATTTCTGTTTCTCCATAGCACTGTTCTGTGATTACTACAATCAGCAAGGGGAATGTGAATGGCACTATAAGCCTTGTGGAGCCTCCTGTATGAAGACCTGTAGGAATCCAAGTGGAAAATGCCTCCATGACTTGCCAGGTTTAGAAGGTAAAAAGACCTGCAAGTACCTTTAAGTGGATATATTTTATTATATTTTTAATGGTCTTTAATGGAGTGTATTTCCCCCATCAGCTGCATTTGCACCATTCAATTCTCTTCAACATCATTGCATTCACATGAACGGAGGCAGAGTGTGGAAACTGGACTTAAAAACATCTCTAGGACTAAGTCCTTGTGGGTGGGCTCTGCTGATGCTAGTACTCTGCATCACTTGTAGAACTATTGGAAAAAAATAAGCAGTAAAAAAATAAGGCTATTAAAACCAAGACCTGCAAACACATTATGCACAAAGTTTTGCTGACTGTATCTCATTCTCTACTTTCCATATGCCTTTTTGCCTCCTTCAGGCTGCTATCCTAACTGCCCACCAGACAAGCCATATTTTCATGAGGATCAGATGAAGTGTGTCAGTCTCTGTGACTGTTATGATAAAGAAGATGGAAAGATATATAGACGGGATGAATGTCATTTATGGTAAGACTTAACGTACCAGCCTAATCATGTACAAGGAAAAATGATCAAAATAAGCAGTGGGAAATTGCATGTTCCTGTTACATGACAGGACTAGTTTATGCTGCCTGTGTTAAAATAATGACTTACTATCTAATGCCAGTTTTCTTACTACATTAGTAGTAAGAACTTCTTATGTGATTTTATGTTCTGCTCAATTTATTCCTGGTTATGATGTAAATCCTCAGCATAAAGATACAAGAAGAACAGTAAGTCCTTTATGATCAGGCTTTCTCTATTTCCCATTCCTATGGCAGGAAAAATACTGTTCCAAGACTACAGGTATCTAATTGGGTTCTGCTTACAAGGATTTTATACCATTCTTATACTGCTTGTAGTATTTAGCCTCTTTTCCTTTTTAACCTGCTTTTTAGTACAAAAACATTGCGAGAGCAAGGAAAGTGATAAGGAGGAAAGAAGGAAAATCTTCCTTAAGACTTCTACCTGTAGCTTTGCATATTATTTAGCTTCACTTCTATTTATAAGTTTGAGTTTAATACAAAGAAAGATTGTGGAAAACAATGGCAAAAAAGAAGACAACATAAACTGGTCACTCAAGGAATAAACACAAATAAAGTGTCCTGTCTTTTGCTGCTAGTTTCTGGCAGAAAGATGACTAATAAAAAAAGTGGTTTTTTATGATTTTTATTTCAGTGAATGCACATCAGAAGGTTTACGGTGCAAGTTTGATGATAAAGGTAAGACAGCTAAGAATAATTAAGAAAATTAAATACTGGATATTATATTTTCATAGATGCCTGACAATAAACTTCTGAATTACAGCATGCCACTGCATTTATGAAGGGAACAGATATAAATATGGTGAACTCATCTACAACACCACAGATGGAACTGGATGGTGTTTCAGTGCAACGTGCGATGTCAATGGAACGATAAACAGAAATATCTTTAAATGTGGCATCTTTACAACACCCCCATTTACATTTTCTACAAGTCAGCCTATAACTACTGCTTCAGGTATGCATGAATACTCTTTAAAATAACAGAAAAATCTCTGGAAGGCCTGAAAACTGCCTGAAAGGGAGGGCCTTTTCATCAGTTAATGGCACAAAATTTTACTTGAAACTGTTGACTTCTGCTGGAGCCACCAATTCAACCGGCAGCTTCAGGTGCTAAAGGTGACCATAATCAAGGATGTAGAAATGAGTACAGCATTTCTTACAAAGTCACTCTCCACTGTTTCACGATGGTTTTTCCAGGGGAAAAAAATAATAGAGTTTATTAATCATTGCACCCTGGAGAATCTCCTAATTTCCTTGCAAACAAAAACCAGCAGTTCTAGACTAACTTCTGAAAACACAAAAGACAATTATTGCCATTTTTTAAATTACTGACCATATTAGCACAAACTGAAGAGAAAAAAATCAAGTTTGAGGGAATGCTCAAATTATTTAAAAATATTCTTCGGAACCTTTCCTAATTGTATTTGATAACAAAATCAACAGTTTCCTTCTACTCCTGTAGTACACCTCTATATTATTCCTGCAGTTAACTCATTATAGTGACCATGTAATTCTGAGAAACTGTGAGAAACATTTCCACAAAATTATACAATACTATAGCAAGAACTAAATATTGAACATTAAATTTTCTATTAAGTAACATTCATATGAATGAAATGGTATATATTCCACATTGTTTTCTTCATAATGCTAAGAATATTAAATCTTATTAATAAGTAGAAAATAGATATTATTTATTTTATTACATTATATTTTATATCTATTGTATAAGCATATTCTATATTATAATGTATTATATATAAAATACATGTGTTATATATTTTCTATTTTGTATTTATAGATATAGTATATGTTATAATATTAAAATAATTAAGAAAGTCATTAACCTCTAAAAATATTTTAAAGCGTCTGTGGTTATGCAGTTAAGTGTAAATAAGTACAGAGATAATACCAAGGAGAATAAAACATTCTCTTATATCATAGCAATCATGAGATCACATTATCATATGTATTGACATTCCACACAAAGCATATCATATTAGCAATATTCAACTACAATTTTTAAATAAATGTGACATAAAGTACCACTAGAAAAATAATACAGACATTACATCAAAACCTACAATAGAAATTAAATTAAAGGTTGTCAAAGCAAGTTCATTAAAATTTAAATACTACATTAACATATAATATAACATACAACATTAAAATGTATGGAAGATTAATAATTTTTTCCTGGCACTTCCTTTAATAAGAGCAGAACAAGACTTGTATTTCCTCATTTTAATTACAGAAATGACAACCACAACACCAGTGACAACCGTGTGTGTGAAGAATGCATGTGCATGGTCAGAATGGTATGATTGCACACAGCCTGAAAACAAAGAGGACAGCGGAGATTATGAAACATTTGAAAATCTCAGAGACAAAGGATACAGTGTGTGTAAAAACCCAAACGGTGTTCAATGCAGAGCCAAAGAGCACCCAGATATAGAAATAAACAATCTTAACCAAACAGTGCAATGTAGTCAAAGCAGAGGATTAATATGCAATAACAAAGACCAACAATCTAAGCACTGCTATAATTATGAAATCAGGGTATTATGCTGCAGCTACATACCATGTTCCGAATTACAAACTACAACACTGAGAACCACAGAAGAATTCACAACTAGTGCTGTAAAATCAACACTGTTTACATTAGAGACGAAGATAAAACCAACAACACCACAAAAACAAGCAACTGAAGGACAAAAAACTGAAATACCTACAATGTCAACGAAAGACAGAGAAAACATGACTCCACAGACACAAACATCACTTACAGCAAAGACATCACAAGTCTCAACAACAGGTTACCATACCATGTCTGCTCCAGGAGACACCTCCACTGTGCCAAGCCAGGCTCCGACATCACCCACTACAGCCTCCACCCTCCCTCAGCCAGCAACAACCACCACCGCTGGCACCACCGTTGTCCCCAGCACCACTGCCCCAGCAAGACAAGGCACGACCATCATCACTACCACTAGCAGGGCCAGCACCACCAGGACCTCTCCACCTCCAACACAAGGCACAACTACCACTACCACACCCACACCAACAGTGCCCACCTCAGCAGCCACCACTGCTGCCAGCACCTCCAAGACCACAAACAGCTGCGAGCAGCACTGTGCCTGGACACAGTGGTTTGACTTGGATTCCCCTAGCCCTGGTAGCCAAAATGACCAGCAAGAACAACCACCGCTGGCACCACCGTTGTCCCC